GCCCCATGGGTGAGGGGAGAGCCTACACAGGGCCTAGCAGGGAGGGAGAGGTTCCCTAGGCAGGGCCCAGAGTAGTTTTGGGGTCCTCACTTCAGGCCCCAGGGCAAAGGGGGGGGGGGCCCTAAACAGGGCCTAGTATGGAGCCAGGTGGGGCCTAAAGTAGTTTTGGTGCCCCCTGAAGAGGACCTGGGGGATAGGGGACCCTGAATCAAGAGCTAGTAGGGAGGGGTATCCCCAGGCAGGCCCAAGGGTTGGGAGGGGGAGCACCCTAAGAAGGGCCTCGTGTACAGGGAGGGGTCTCCAAGCAGGGCCTAGAGTAGTTGTGAGGTCCCCAAGCAGGCCCTGAGGGAAGGGGGACTCCAAAGCAGGGCCTAGCAAGGAGGGAGGGATCCCCAGGTAGGGCCTAGAGTAATGGTGGGGGTCTCAGGCAGGGTCTGGGGGTGAGGGAGGTCCCTTTGCAGGGCCTAGGGGCACTGAGGGGTCCCTGGCAGGACCCAGCCTGGCCCAGCTGCCTGCGCTGTCCAGCAAGAGCCTTCGCAGGGCTGGGGTGGCACCGAGGAAACGGAGGGGGAAGAGCCCCTGGCGCTCTCCCTGCTTCCTCTGGGATTAGACGCAACTCAAGAAGCCACCTTCGAGTTCATGCATAAAAGATCAATGGAAATGGTTGGTAACCTCCAAATATTGTTAAGCTTAATTAAGCCTTTAAGGACTGTGTGAAGCATCAGCGGGCAGAGCTGCTCGTTAGCACAGTGAGGGCTTTGTTGGTTACTGCAACCTGAGCTCCAGGTTATGTTAGTTCTTCTAAACCGTATGCTTGGGGCTGTTGTTAAAGACCCCAAGTCCTTCCTCAGACCCCATTTTCTGCTTCCCTGTGGCAGTGAGCCCACAGCTGCCCCAGAGACCTTCCTTTCGGACGGCAGCATCCTGCAATGGGACCCATCGGCGTTGGTGTGCCCTCCCCCAGCGCGTGGGGAGGGCACAGAGTGCCTCTTGCCTGCGTTAAAGAACAGGCTCCTTCCTGGAGAGACTGTAATGTGCCCTTCTCGCCATGAACGTAGCCAAAACGTTGCTAAGAAGTTGAAGGTAAAGATGCAGGAGGAAGAGTGCGTTTCTTGGGCTTCGGCCCTGCTGCTCCCCTTCATCCAGCAATAGCACAGCAGTACATTTATGGAAATAACAGGTCTTTGGTTCAAGCACCCTCTTGCCTTGAAATTAGGCCCACTTTTGCAGAAGTGGGCAGTTCCCACCCCCTTGGTGCGTTTGCCCTGAGCACCTGTCAGCTGAATCAGCGCTTGTGATCTAACCTTAAGAGACTTCCCCAATTGTAGCCTGTCCTTTAAGGACTTTGGTATGAGCTTAGGGTCTAAATACTGTTATAAAAATCTGTTGCAGATTGCTCGATAGGGTTTGGATCATGCTGTCATCGTGGGACTTCAGACATAACAGGAGCAAAAGTAAAGCTCTTCAGCGAGGTATGGATCAGCTGCTATGTACAGACCTGTTGTCACGATCCCCTGCCCAAGATCCACCAGCAGAAGGTGCAGTCACAAGTCTGGAGCTGTGTATGGAGAAGGTATGATGCAATTCCCTAGTAGTTTCTATGTGTAAAGTCTTCCTTCTTGGAAATGAGTTTAAAAAAATCCATATGGATTGCAATAAAAGGAGCCCAAAAAAAAAAAGAAAACCAACCCCCCTTTCTTTCCTGATTTTTTGCTAAACTTTCTATCTGCATTTTGGTCAGAGTTTGAGGGCAGAACCTTCTTTATCAAGCTCATTTTCAGGCATCTCAATCAACAATATCATTGTTCTCTTCCTGTTTAAGTGAACATCTCATGAATAATGTACCGGCTGCCTGATGAATATGCACAATGGCTGGTGTGCCTGGGAGGGCTTCATAAATGATTCATGCCCAGAAAATGTTCTTCACCTTGCAACTGTACGGGAACTGTAAAAAAATATTTACCCTTTAAAGTGGGAGAGATGGCCTGAAACCTGCCCAGGGAAATGCTGAGTGAGGTGGGCTGGAGTTAAGCACAGCAAAAGCAAGGGAGAGCACCTCCAAGCAGTGAAAGAAGCTGTATCCAGGAAGGTGATTTCCGAGCTCTGATTTCCCCCTCTACAACCCAGTCCTGGAAAGCCCCAGAGCTTGCTGAAATCACTCAGAAACGAGGCTGTTCAGCAGCTCCCGAGTTCAGGCCTTATTTATTCTAACAAATACATGACTACTTCTGCTCTGCTGACATCCCTATACAGAGAGCTTCCTTGCACAGGAGAAGTGAAAATGCTTTGGGAGGTGCAAAGGGCAAGCATACACTTTCCATTCAGAAGGGCCAGGCTCTTCAGAAGGCACCTACCTTCAAATGCCTTGGGATTGTTTTTATGTGTATTTTTATCACTGATTACCTTGTTTAAGGGCCTCTTGGGCCTCCAAGAGGAAAACTCCAGTTACCATCAAAAGCTCTGGAGGAAGAAAAAAAAAAAAACCAGCTCATGGTGTCTTGAGCTGTGCGGTCCCAAAATGGAAACCTGTGAAAGTTGAGGCAGCTTCTGGATGCTTGGCCGTGTGCCAGCGGGCTTTGCTTCCCACGCCGGGCAGTTCTGAAAGGCAAAGGGACTGTCTGCAAAGAGCCGGGTGTCGCCTTGGCACTATGCAGGCATCATGCAAAACAGATGAAGGCATAAATGGTCCCAGTCTGCCTTTTGGGTGAGCAAAGGCCCACTCTGGAAGTCCTTATTTACCCGGCGGGAGGTTATTTAACCCCGATGGAGAGCAGAACTGGCTTGGGTAATACCTATGATTTGCCACTTTAAGAACATGTGAAAAGTCAGCTGAGGATGCTGCTGGCCTCACAAGCAGGTACCTGTTTGTGAACTTTGCTCAGGTGAGCAATCAGAGGTAACAGGTTGTTTAAGGCAGTGAGCACCCTGCAGGTGTAGGCCTGTAACTAATTACCTAAAAATAATGACTAAACAATTGAGAATTACTTCATGATATCTTCCACCTAGGCAACATTGTGCCCTTCCTTTCACCACCAATGAAGTTCAGGGGGTTCTGTCCCCCCTGGCTTTACGTTGGGTGAAATTTGGTCCCAGTAACAAAGTGACATAAGGAAGGCCTGAAAATCCCATGGGAATTTTAGAGCCTATTTACATCTTCCGGGGAGAAGAACAAGTCCAAGGCCAGATCTAGCATGGTGCTGGAGAAGCTGCATTAAGTCCCCTCTGTGACTGCTAAAAGCATGTGCTTGAGCTCAGATTCAGCACAGTTTGTGAGCAACTGGAGTCACTTTGCTGCATGGAAGCCAAAATAAAGTCTGGCTTGCTTTTTCCTGCACTTTCAGTCACTCTTGGAACATCTGGAATAAGCTGGTTCATGGAATATTTGTTCCTTGTAGGACTGGAAACCATTCTGTAGCAAATTAGATGTGCCAGAAACCACATGGTCAGGTGCAAACCCTTCCCTGACCCATTACTGAATCTGATTAGAGCAGCCAAGTCAGCAAAAGAAGTGTGGACAAGAAAGCTGCAATATTAATTTGGTCACCTACCAAGAGCTCTCATCGACAGAGCAAGCTCTGGAACAAAGGACGCATTCTTACAGTCAGCGTTTTAGTTTTACCAGCTATTTCTGTCGAATGGTTA